GTTAATTTTTGTTCTTGTTTATACCATACTTAAATTTGATATTTCCCCTAAAATATTTGCTTATATAGTGTTTTCCTAACATTGTTTATTTTCTCATGGAACTATCTTTTTCATGACATTAGTGCATTTGTTTCATTCTTTTTAACGAGGGATTAAAAAAAAGATCAACCCATTGTCAAACCCCTCTTCATCCCCGTTTCTTTCTCTCTCTCCCTGCAGCTCTCTTCCCTCGAGTTCTTTCTTGATACAAAATTTTGGAAGTCCGAATTTGGCCACTCTATTTTAGCATATTGCTATAACATTGCAACAAACCAACCTCATATCTAGTTTATTTGATCCTCTTAACTATCTATAGGGCTGGGAGTTTACCCAGTTAGGATCCGAAACCCGACTTTTGGATCCAAGTATGGATCCAAAATTCATATCTGGATCTAAAATTTGGATCTAAATTACTATTCAGATCAAATCTTGGTACAGGTGGGTTCGCTCCCGATCCGATCAGGTTATTAGATTAGTATATATTATTTTATGTATATATTATATTTACTTATTTATATATAATGCATATAACAATTTTAACTTTTAAAGACCTAATCCCCATTCTAGATCTGATTGTGGAACTGATCGGATCTTGATCCAGATCTATGGATAGTTTTTGGATCCATATCCAGATCCAAACATTCTGGATCCGTTGGATCAGAATCCTCTATATACTTTTGGATCCGGATCTAGATCGAGATCTAGGTGGATCCAGATCCGACCAGGTTATTAGAATAGTATATATTATTTTCTGTATATATTATATTTATTTATTTATATATAATGCATATAACATTTTTAACTTTTAAAGACCTAATCCCCATTCTGGATCTGATTGTGGAACTGATCGGATCGGGATCCAGATCTATGGATAGTTTCTGTATCCATATCCAGATCCGAACATTCTGGATCTGGATCCTCTATATACTTTTGGATCCAGATCCAGATCTAGGTGGATTCAGATCCGACAAGGTTATTAGAATAGTATATATTATATTTATTTATATATATATATAATGCATATAACATTTTTAACTTTTAAAGACCTAATCCCTATTCTAGATCTGATTGTGGAACTGATAGGATCGGATTGGATCAGAATCCTCTGTATACTTTTGCATTCAGATCCAGATCTGGGTGGATCCAGATCCGACTAGGTTATTATAATAATATATATTATTTTATGTATTTATTATATTTATTTATTTATATATAATGCATATAACATTTTTAACTTTTAAAGACCGAATCCCCATTCTAGGTCTGAATGTGGAACTGATCGGATCCTGATCTGAATCTATGGGTAGTTTCTGGATCCATATCCAGATTCAAACATTCTGGATCCGATTAGATCAGGATCCTCTGTATACTTTTGGACCCAGATCCAGATCTAGGTAGATCATGACCTAATCGGAAAAATTCTCAACCCTAATAATGTACAAACTCAATGAAATTTAACCACAAATTCTTTAATAAATCCTCTTTCCCTTACAATTTTGGCTTAATTAGACATCGTTAGATCCCGAATCAAGAGTTCACAGCAAGCTATTGAAATTTGAACAATTATATCTTGGCTCCATTTTAAATTTCACAAAAATTGGGAACAACAAACATCATTTAGACCCCCTCTTAAAATTTCTCCACGAGCCTCCATATACATAGTTTTAGCTCATGGTGAACGATTGGGAACCCATCCAAGTGGACTCTAAAGTTCATGAAATTTGGCGAGGAAGCTTGAGATATCGTCCTGAGTCTCAACCTTTAAATACTCCTGCATTTGGGACCGCTCGCGCCAAAGTTTGGATGGCCCCTCAAATGATCTCCAATGGTCATGACATTTGGAGTCGAGTGTGTAAAGCATTCTCTTGCAGAAGCATACTGTATGGAAACTCCCTCAGGCAATTGCTACTTGGGATGTTTTTTTTATTCAGAATTGTGGGATCCATCTAAGTTATCAATAGATAATTGTTTTCAAAGGAAAAAAATAAATATGGATTTTAAGCTCTTGAAGATCTGGATTTTTCCTCTGAAAACTGCATAAGTTCATGTAGAGCACGGGATGTCATATTTTTTAGGCGGTTAAATTTTTTTTTCCCTCTCAAACCAAAAAAATATTGTTTCTTAAGATCCCATTGATTTGTTATCTATCAAGAAATAAAGGTTCCAAAAACAAAAGGTATTTCTACTTAAAACTCACTTTATGTTTTGTCCAAATCCTAGATTTAAAAATATTCTATGATGGCAAGAAAAGGAATTTAATAAAGAATTTATAGACGGATTTTATATGCTAGTCATTCCTAAATTGCCATAATAGTATCAAAGTTATCCAAATAATAGAACTTAAAAGAAAGCATTTAGAAAAGGGAAAAGTTTATATAAGGTTGCAACCTTAAAATGTAGAGTTAAAGATACACCATCCGGAAAAGTTGTTTTAATGTTGAAAAATCCTCTAATTAATTATCTTAACATCAAGATGTATAAATATGAAAAAAAAAAAAGATGTATGAATATGAAAAAAAATGAAAAAAAGAAAATAGATTTTGAGTATCAGAAATAGTGCATCTTGTGTCTAGACCATTAATTTTTTACATTTATATATGTTTTTTTTTAAAGTCAACCACGAATTTGATTGTCTCAAAGGGAAATACAAGGAAAAATTTAAGGAAGTATGAGATCATCAATGATGATTGGGGCACTCCCCCTTTAGCTAACACATCAGCCTCAACATTACTCTCTCTATAGCAATGTACAAGATCAAAAAAAGAAAGAAGCAAAAGAAAATGAATTTTATTGAACAGACCCCTAATTCTCCAAAAAAGAAAGAAGCAAAAGAAAATGAATTTTATTGAACAGACCCCTAATTCTCCAAAAAAGAAATAAGCAAAAGAAAATGAATTTTATTGAACAGACCCCTAATTCTCCACGACAGCTTCATCTCTCCCTTTTCCCATGCAGTAGTATTGGAGGAATCCCCGTCAATCGTCTTATGACCATCCAACTCCATTAGAATTTTTAGACCTTCCAGATGTCCTCTCGATTCAACGTCATTTACCGATGTATTCCCACATAGTCCTGAGAAGGTCTTTAAAATATAGCCATTGTGATCTCGAATGATCCTTCCAAAACCAGCTGGTCCTGGGTCGCCTACACAATTACCATCAAAATTAAGTTTCAGATCATTCAAAAGAGGCGGTTCCAAGTAATTCTAATCTTATTGAAGTGTTGACGAAGATTTTCTACCTCCAACGGATTTTGAAAAACCTGACTTTGGGTGTATCACTACAATCCTTATGCACCGAGAACCAATCCATTGCCATTGCAAAAAGTATTTCATTTTAGAGCATTCAAGTCTAGACACACACCTTAAAAAATTCTCCTATTCCGTTTTCTCTGTATATTCCACATTACACTAGTCCATAAAGATCGCTAAAATTGTGCCAATCGTTGGAGGACCCGGTTGCATCCATTGTTGAAGAATAGCATCCATTGATTGAGGAACTTGGATATGAAGTTGAATCATTTGTCGGCCCCAATTCCAAAGATTTTGCGAGAAAGCGCAATGCTGTAGAAGGTGGTCTACTGTTTCAAAGTCTTACAAACATAGTAAATAGCCATTTGTTAAAATGAATCCCCTCAAGATTATCTATTATATGAATCTTTTTTTGGCATGCAATCCACAATAACAATTTAAGTTTCAGTGGAATACAAAGACTCCAATTTTTTTTTTTGTCAGATTTGGGTCTATATCCCGAAACCTATCGACATAAAGTAAACGATAGACTAACTTCACAAAAAAGTCACCGTGAGGATTTAGATCCCAAGTATTCTCACCTTGAGGATTTACATTCTTAAGACTCACATCCCATGATGAGAATACAGAGTAATTCAATGAGAAAGACAAGCCCCTACCTGTTTTTTCAGATAGATTAGGGAGTCTGAATTTTTGAAGGTGTTAAGGTGATAACTAGGTGCGGGGTACTGTCCTATGGGGTTATTGATTTATACAATGCATTCCATGGGTCATTCCTACCTCATGCATGCTCATTTAAACATGAATGGGTGTTACTAAACATTAACAGCCAGACATGTGCCATCTGCATATTGTATAATCGCATATATGAGGCAACTACACTATTTATGATTCGCCACACCTCTTAGATATAGGCCAGGCGCATGCATTGTGAGGTGAAGTGATATGGGATCGACTATTTGCGCCTCATCCTATTAGTCTTGGTGGTTCACCAAAGTCCCTTCATAGAATTATCATGCTTAAGGTCTTACATCAAGGGTCAGGATACCAAGTTCATGCAAGTGCAAATATGAGATGTCATAAAATCAGTTCATAAAACTTCCATATCAAGAGAGGTAGTTTGCATGCATAGCACGAGGGTTTCATTTCTAGTTTGTTTCATCACCCGAGGGAAATTATACATGCCTAAGTTAGCATGCACGAGTAATGTCAAGAAAGGTTTCGACACTAAGGTATGTACCTTAAATTTTTATTTTTTAGCTACTTATCTACTTGAATATCGCTTGTCCACCCCTTAATTATTGCTTAATAACACTGACATATTTATAAGTGAAGACCTAGGGCATAATAATGTAAAATAGATGATCTTGATGTTGATCACAATAATGAGGCAATGATAAACGGGTCCCTTAAATATATTTCTTATATTAAGATTTGAAAATATTACTAGATCCAAATTAGACCTGAATAGTATTCGAGTACAAGATTTGGACCTCGAGCCGATATGCCAAATCCAATTTTTGAACCCATACTCGAACCTAAATTAGGCGTACACCTCGGTTTCCGGGTCGGGTTTGGTCCATTGCCACCAATAGTGGCTGGAAATATGCAGCCTTTCCTTTTCTTTCTTACATTTTCAAAAGCCCGAACAGGGAACTTCTTGCATGTCTCACTTCCTTTTAAAACCCTATGTCCCGACTCTCCAACGACTCCGTTTTACTGACCCCCTCTACTAAAACCCTAAAACCCTAAGACTCTACACTCGTCTCATTTCTCCCGCCTCTCTCTCTCTGCAAATGTGCTTTTCTCAAAGCCATGGCCATGGCGAAACACGCCGGCCTTCTCACCAAAGCAGCCCCTATCGTGCAGCAACGCTTTGCCTTCTCTCTCTTCTCCTCTTCCATTTCATCTCTTCCTTCTCCTAACAAGAGGCTTTCGCAACGTTTTCTGAGGCCTTCTTTCCCTCTGGTTTCTCTCTACGACCTCCATGGCTCCTCTGTCTTTTCTCGAGGGTTTTCCAGCCAGGCTACGATCTCTTCTCTGAGAGACCTCTCCCCTAATTGGAGTAACAGACCCCCTAAAGAGACAATTGTGCTTGATGGCTGTGACTTTGAGCACTGGCTTGTGGTCTTGGAGCAGCCTGAGGGTAACCCCACTCGTGACGAAATCATTGGTACTTATATCAAGACCCTGGCTCAAGTTCTTGGGAGGTAACTGCCAAGGTTATCATTCATTTGTTCACTCTCTCTCTGTGTTTTTTGAATTATGTGGGTACTGGGGTTAATGCTTGTGGATATTGTTCTGACATTGATTATTTGTTCTTTCTGGTTGTTGTTTGCTTGTTCGATCCTTTGTAGCAATGAATGGTTTGTTACTTTTTTCTGGTTATTGTTCATTCTAGTTGTTATTTTATTGATTCTCATTTTTTTCGATCTTCTGTCCCTTTTTATTCATTTGTTCTCTTCTTTCAAATATGATAGAGAGACCAACCTGTCCAAGGGTGAAGGTTTCATATATTACTGTGCTTCTACTTCATACTGATTCCTTTTATTATTTCATTCATTATGCTTATGATTTACTCATTGGTCCATTTGTTCTCTGTTGATATTGTGCATTAATTCATTTATTTGTTATCCGTTTTGAAATTTGGGATATGATTATGGGTACCCAAGCATATGTGACTCGATGACTTGCAATTTCGTTTGATCTTTTCACTTTTTTGGACCAGAAAAATAAAAAAAGAAGCTTTTTGTGATTCCTTCTATAATTTTAGTCAGATGCAAGTTCGGGCCCTGCATTAACCTTTGAGGCCCCAAAAGCTTGACTTCTTTGGTTACTTATTGTATTTTTTGTCTCTATTGCATCATGGAACAGCATTGGGTTTATTTTTCATATTATCTTGTTCTTTCTTGCTTCTTTGTCTTGGCTTGTAGTGAAGAGGAAGCCAGGAAGTCCATCTATTCTGTGTCCACCAGATGCTACTATGCGTTTGGATGCATTGTGTCTGAGGAACTTTCCTACAAGATCAAAAGTAAGCCTTTCCTTTTTTGGTCTCTAGTTTTTTGGTATTCTCAAGTTTGCTTGATTGTCTTATTCAAAGTCCAGAGCATGTTTTCTTTGGATGGGGTTTTGGTGTATCAGCTGAGACACCTATTCAAGTTCATTCTCCTTCAAAAATTCATCTTGCAGATGGATTTTGGAACTAAAATATCACAGGTGGATAAGTTCAACCACCATGATCATGGATCTGAAAAAAAGGGCTTTTTTAGTTTTTTTTTTTTGAGAATGTTAACTTACAGTAGTGTATTTTAAATTTTGATTTTGGACCAATCATCATTTTTCATTTTAATTCTTTGCAAATCACTATGTTTCCACTGTTTATTGGGCAGCAAAATCATGGAACTAAAGCTAAAACGCGCCTAGGATGTGTTTCAGATCCTAAATCCATCTCCGAGATGGATTTTTTAAAGGGGAGTGCGTTTGAATAGAAGTGTGTTTCGAATTTTCCCATTTTGTTTAATCCTTAGCTTCTTTACTGGGTTTCTGACATTCTTTTGCATTCTTAATTATTTTAATTTTCATTCTTTCTCTGGAAACAGATTTGCCAAGGGTTCGTTGGGTTCTTCCTGATTCATATCTTGACGTTAAGAATAAACTCTATGGAGGTAAGCAGTAGTTCATTTTTTTTTTCTTCCTTTCTTTTCTACTTTCTAAATTGAGTGGGAGTTCAGAGTTTAGGTGTCCAAAATTCAATTTAGGGTTTTGTGGTTTCTAATTTCCTGTGCACTTTACTCAACAGAACTGAGGAACCCAGTATCTGAGTTGCTAATTCTCATGTGTTTGCTAGTTCTCTTGAGTTCTACACTTGTAGTTGTATTACTGTACTGTTAACTTCTTTGTGTTTGATGAATGTAGAATTTGCGGGGATTAAAATCATGTTTTCTCCAGACCCTATTTTTTATGACAGACTCTGCTATTTTTGGCTTTCTTACTTATATCATTCGCCAAAGCTGAGATTAAGTCTTCCTTTCATTTTGTTTCATATTTTCTGTTCCCCTTTTTGTTTTCTTTTGTTCCAGGGGAGCCTTTCATAGATGGGCAAGCTGTTCCATATGATCCAAAATATCATGAAGAATGGATGCGTAACCATCAGAAAGCATCTGAAAGGTCGAGGCGTAAAGATGGGCCAAGAACCAGGAACTTTGATAGACGAAGAGAAAACATGCAAAATAGGGACTTTCAGAGTTCTGGGGTAACACCAATGCCCAATAATGAGGGTACCCAGAATAAAGAAACCCCCCCAATGCCAAATACACAGGATTATCAAAATAGGGACATGCCTCAGATGACTAATTCACAAGGTTATCAGAACAGGGATATGCCCCCGATGCCGAATTCCCAAGGATTTCAGAATAGGGACATACCCCCCATGCCTAGGGACATACACCCGAATTCTCAAGGACTTCAGAATAGGGACATACCCCTGATGCAGGGTAATCAAAACAGGGGCATGGCACTAAACCCAAATCCTCAGGGTTATCAAAACAGAGAGGTGCCCTCAATGACTAATACTCAAGGTTATCAGAACAGGGATATGCCACCAGCTGTCCCACTGCCTAATATGCAGGGTAATCAAAACAGGGATATGATTTCAAATTCAAATCCTCAAGGTTATCAAAATAGGGAGGTGCCCTCGATGACAAAAACTCAAGGTTATCAGAACAGGGATATGACAGCAGCCTCACCGGTGCCCAATATGCAGGGTTATCAAAACAGGGAAATGAGTTCAATCCCAAATCCTCAGGGTTATCAAAACAGGGAGATACCCTCAATGTTAGGTAATCAAGGTTATCAGAACAAGGATATGCCACCAACCCCAAGTACTCATGGCTTTCAGAGTAGGGAGAATCCCCCATTTCCAAATGGAAACTTCTAAAATCAGAATTTTGAGAATAGGAACCAGCCCCAATATCCAAATGGGGACTTCCAGAATCAGGGTTTTCAAAACAGGGGCAGACCTCAATTTCCAAAATGGGGGCATCCAAAATCAGGGTTTTCAGAGCAGGGATGCAGCCCCAATGCCAAATGATGCTTTCAGTAAGAGAGTATTCGGAACACAATGCCTCCAATTCAAGATATAGGGAGTGGTGCGAATAGAGAATGCCAGATGAGTGATATGCCAGGTCGAAATATGGGAAAATTTGAGAATAGGGATTATTATTAGAGCAGAGAGATGCCTAGTAGAGATTTTGGTAGCATGCCTGGCAGAGATGATGCACCAAGAGACATGCCCAATAGAGATATGGGGAACACGTCAGCTGATAGAGATGTGCCTCTGATGCAAACTAGTAACTATTAGTTCGGCTTTATGAATCAGACTTGAAAACTGAATATAGGCTTTGCAAGTTAATAAAGACGAAGTCTTAATACTCTTGAAGATTTGAAGTCAGGGAGACATTTTTTGCGGTATAGTCATTGAGTTTGAGATTGTCTGTGTAGAGGTTAGGAAATAACCAATGTTTTGTTCTTGGGTATGTCTAAAACTTTCTTAAGTTTAGCCATCTTTCTGCATGGGGACTTCCTGTTTTGTATGAGGTGAGCATGGAGAATGTTGATATAAAATATATGCATTTTAAATTTTTTTGGCTAGTTCTTTTTCATGTAGATTTGCTTTTACTAGGTGATTTCTTTGTTTTTTGGTTAAGCTCGTAGTTGTTTTCTTAGGGATTCTTTACTATAAGACCATTTTTGTACAAGGTCGGAATCACACTTGGCCATCAAATGTGAAATCATGAGGTTAGAGATTTGTTAAGAAAGTACGAAAAAACTTTTTGGACTTTGAGCGTGGTCAATAGCACACCCCTAACCATCCAATGTCAATTCCAATGGCTAAGGGTAATTGTGACTTTTTACGAATACAATATTATTATATAGTTGTCTTATAGTGCTGATACTGCGATTGTTTGAAACTTAATGTGTTTGGTAACGCTGAGCGACAGAAATTTTGAAGTTTGTCTCTTGTTAGTTCATGCTATGAATTATAATAGGAAACATATAAAATCCATAAAATTCAATGATCTCGTCTGTGGCCATAATAAGCATGCAGCACTCTCCATTAGTCTGTTGCCTTCCATGCAGCATCAGCTTTTCATTTCGGTCTGTCACCCATTTAAAATTGATGCCATTGGACTTACCTGTTTAATCTGGGAGTGCATTATTGTTTTGTGATTGCTAATGTGTTTAGACCTCAGATTAATGTTCATAAGAGCTCTGCCAAGGCCTTGCATGTTCCAATGTCTCTTAACTAGGCAATGTTTTATTACCATTTAGGTCATCAATTTCTGTTAAATTCTTGGCATTGATTCCCATTTTGCAGTTTACGGAATGCGTGTCTATGGGCGGAGTGTGCACTCGTGTGTGCGCAACTTGCACATGCAAGTGTGCTTGTTGAGATCTACCTTGTTTTGATATGTGCATTGGAGATCTGGTTAGTTATAGCAAGTTCTAAATATTTTCATCTTTTATCGTGCTAGTTTCTTGGGTGCATAGTGTCACACCCTCATCTCAATTTGTCCATAATATGATGTAGTGCTCGCATTCCACTGAAAATAGGCCCAAGATTATCTGTTGTGAGTGTTTATTTAGGTATGAAGCTCCTGTTTGTTGCAAATTTAATATTGCAAACATAATTCACTCTATAAATTAGCAAATTTGTGACTAAAATAACTGTCATTATATGTATAGGGTGATTAAATGGAAGGTTAATATGCGGAAAATGAGTTTTACTGGGATAAGGTACAAATCTGACCTCCCAAATTGAATTTAGGGTTGGAAAGCATCCCAAATAATAGCAAGTACAGGACGTGACGGTTCTATTTTGTAAAAGTATATGCTCCTGTTGGTATGTGCTCCCTCTGGTAAAAATACTACCTAGGAGTAATTCTAGGACATCAGGGGTCCTTAACCTTCTCTTTCTCCATACTGGTCTTACTTTTAATAGCTCCATATTGGAGGAGACATTGTTGTACTTTCGAGGTAGGTCACACAAAGTTAGTGATCCTAGTCAGCCTTCTTTCCACCATAGGGTTATAGTTGCAGTGGGGTTAGTTAAAAGATAATGGGTTTGTCCCTAATAAGTCAATTATTTTTTTTCAGAGATTCTACTGAAGAGGGGCTTCATGGTCTCGATGATCAGAAAATGATTTATAATGTCAATAATGTTCTCCCTGACTTCTCACAGTAGAAGGACGACGAGTGATGTCAATCATAACCTTTAAGACTTTCGACTGTAGAAGGTCATCTGATAATATCAGACATGACTTTCAAGACCTCTGCTGTAGGTCGTTAGATAACACCAGACGTGCCTATGAAGACCTATGCCATTAGGTCACTGTACATGTGCATGGGCATGCCTTCCGGCAACAGAAGACAATGAATTCTATGGTTCCGTGATTTTAACATTAAGCACCACCTTTTTGAGTTTAAAGAACACCATAGTCTCTAAATTGTTTACCTTTTAAAAAGGTAGTGCGGGACATAAACCTGCATTTTTGAGTTTAAAGAGCTTTTCAGTGAGTAGATTAATCAGTATATATAGCAGTCAATGAGATAGTGGCTCATTTTCTTTTTCTTGAGAACAGTAAAGTTTATATTATTTTCACAACACAGAGCTTTACATGGGGAGAATGTTGTTTTCCTAGCCTTAATTTGAATTTTTAAATTACAGTAGTAGGATACTTCCTACACCAGGTCAATAAGTTGATGAGGGCTCAACTTACCAGAACAAGAAACAACAATAAGTGCAACAACACATTGGCCTCAAAGAAGGAAAATATTCATTTCATTGTTGATAGTTTAGCAAGAACACCGACTAGAGGTGCAGTGTTATAGGATGAGGCTTCTCCATGAGGGGCACTGTCCCTAGTGTCAGTAAATTGATCATTTTCATCAGGACCACCAACAATTGCACCATCCATGACATTCGGGTAGGGCGCATTGCAGCTAAAGCACTCCACATAGCCCTGTACACAACCCACAGGTGTCGGGTCCTTCTTTACGGACACGATTGAGCCCCCCCCCATGGTGAACTTGTGTCGGGTATTTCGCTCCATAACCAACCATGTAACTTATGGACATTGGCTTGTTCCCGAGAATATAGTCCACCTGGGTTTTGCAACAACATATATCAGAACAACCTTTCACCATCATATTGTTCTGTTATTTCCCTTTGTTTTATGAAATTTGTTTTTCAAGATTTTATGTGTTGGTTTGATCTTAATTTTTATATGAGGAAAAAAAAGAGTCAAAAGGGCTTGCTTGATAATAATGACCTTGGGTTGTGGGAGCAAATTTTATCCTTGGTTGCGCTATAGAAAACCGACTTAAAAGGGCATTTGTTTGACCCCATAACCTAATTAAGTGCTGTACTCAAAATTGGAATATTTTTTGTAATGCAATCCAAAAATCTTGTGAAACGGTTTCGAGGGATTTGTGAGAGTGTTACCAATCCATAATGGGGGCTAAAATAAAATATTCGTGTAACACCCAGACGACCTTATAAGAATAGAAAAAAGATTTTGTATTTTTTTCAATTGATATTTGAAAAACTTGTAATTTTTTTGAATAACAAATTTTTTCTATTTGACATCCAAAATGGCCCTAAATGTTATTTATTCATCTCAAAAAACAAAAAAAAGACTTCCAATATGAACCGAATGAAATAAAATAAATAAATAAAAAAGAACTCCAATATGGACCGAATGAGTTGTTTTTCAATTGTGAACATAAACTATACATTTGATGGATGATTACATGTAGGTTTTTAGGAAAGTGCAAGCTTTTTATGTTTTCGCTACAACATAAAACTTATGTACTTCCCATTATTCAATCATTCATTTGGAATGGATAGCTAAGATGGCCCCATTCATAATGTCATATCTTTAGATGATTTTATTTAAAATTTTTTTTTTATAAAATATTTTTGCCAAATATTGGGTATCCAATCCTCTCTTACACTCGCACTTGTAAAAAATTATTCTCATTAAAATAAAATTATCAAAATACCCCCTGAAAGTTTTAAAGGGTATTTTGGTCATTATATTTTATTGAAAAATTAATTTGAATATTCTTTTAGGTGTGTCCCAATGAGGAGATGACACGTACAAAATCTCATATTCATACAAATAAAAAAAAAAAACTAAAAATAAAATACTTTGAGACGTCGAATCTCTATCAAACGGTGAGTGGCTCACTTGATCAAAAGAGGAACTAGTGGAGGTTGTTATTGAATTGTTGGAACCAAAGCATCCATCCCCCCAGGGGTCCTTGGCACATTGTATCTACCCTTTTGGAGCTAGTTGCACAACATCTCTTCCAAGTTGCTCTAGTACTGCCTCCATATCCCCAGTCCACCTATTTTTCCTTGTAATAGTAACTGGTGGAGAGAGAGAGTGTTAAGGCATATGAACCTTACAAACACTAAACATGGAGTTCTTGACTGAACTCCTTATGAGGTTTCAGCAGTTCTGCTGCCCTATTAAGCTGAATTCAATGGCATGGGAACGTTCTCCCTCTGGTGTATTCATGGTAAGCTTGGATTATAGACTTGTTTACAATGACACCAAACCAGCTATAATCATGACATTCCCTGCTCATCTAAAAATCAAGCCTGTGCAATTTTGAAATAAATTGCTCACTGTGGATCATCTATGACAGAAAGGTAAGATCATTCCAAACATTTGTTAATTTTGATGCCAAAATCTAAGAATTTGGAATGACGAGGAAATGTTGTCGATATATCCTATTTTTTTCTCCAAGTCATGTCTTGTGTATGTAGAGTTACGTGTAGTCACCTCTTTGTTTCTAGAGTCAAGTTACATTACTAGTGAGAGAGTAGTTATTCCTAAATTGGTAGTATTTCTAAGTGGGAAGAGTGAAGAGTCTAAGGTTTTTCTGAAGAGACTCAATGTCCATTGATCAATATGAATATACAAGTTGTTTTATATAGAGAAATACAAATGTCAATAAAAGAAATAAATCACAGATTTTTATATTGTACTCAAACTTACCATAAATACAAGATTATAATATAAACCTTTCATATTAACCTGGTGGACAATATATACTTTCCTTTCACATTCTCCCTCAAACTCAAGATGCTATTAGAGAGCAACTAGAGTTTGAACACTAATTGTGAAAACAAGCAGTTGGATCTTCATGTGCATAGCGGGACGAGGAATGGACACAACGACGATGAATCTGACTCTGATACTGTGTCAAGAGTCTCAGGTTTATCTGAAGAGGTTTAGTGTCCATTTGTTAATATGAATATACAAGCTTTCACATGAAGTTATTCATGAACTTGTTGTGGAGGTGAGTAGCAATGAATTTTGTGTTTTATCCCCTGCTCAAATTTTTTTTTTTATCCCTCTCTGAGCATGAGTTTGCTTAAAGTTTGTCTAAAGAACCTTTGAAAAGAGTCTTATTACATTGTAGTAGCAGCTACGTATTTTTCAAAACCCAACAACATTGGCCTATTTCAAAAAAATCACTTCGGAAATGGCTTATGAGCAGAGTTTGGGCTTGGCTTAAGGTAGTATTATTGGGCTGGGTTTGGGTTTGGGCTTGGCCCGAAATTATGA